CTCATAATGCATTTCTTCTGTTTTTGACCATGTGTCAGTAGTTGCTCTTAACAACTGTCAGAGATTTTACAAGGTCACACGCAAAAGCTTTTCTTGGCTTGGAATATTTAATTATGTATGTTAGCGATTGGACTTTACACATCGACAAACATTTATTTTCATCTGTCCTTCATTTTCCATATTTTTAGGGGAGCAGAACCTTTTCTAGAGAGGAAGGCTTTTAAATGGACAATCTGGTATCCTCTGTTTTAGTTGCATGACATACAGCTCCAATCACCTCTAGCTAGTTGGCCAATGGCAAAGATTTATGGGGAATTGCAGTTCAAATCACATCACGTTATGTATTCTTGCTTTGCAATGTAGTTAGCTTCAGAGAAAGAGACTTAAATTAGCAGTAAGGAAGAAACTGAGTTGCTGTATGCCTTGTGAAGAACACCCCACCCCCCCTGCCAAATAATGAGAGTGAAGCTTCATAAAATTTGGTGATATTTTGTATTTACTTAAAATACACAAGACTGTATTTTCATCCTACACTAAGTAATGGTTGGATAAACATCTTTTTTTAAAAAAACACATTTTATTCAGTTTTTCACATAAAAACAAAAATCTCTTTTTAGTGGACAACCTATTTCCGGGTCATCACCTTTACATACAAACATGACAGCAATTATACATTCATATATGCACACTTAATTCTATTATTACCTTTTCCATTCAAAATGTTCAGTAAGGAGAGAAACAAACACATTAATTCTAGCCTCTTTCATTTATCTCAATCGAAACATCTTTTTGTTTCATTTCAATTATTTCAAATATAATCCTTTAATATTTATTTTAAAAGTAAAGATAAACAATGTGTGTTTGCCTAATAATAATAATAATAATAATAGGTTGCCAATGTCTCTCCTTGCTTTTATTAGTCTATATTGACTTATTAATTTAATTAGTTCTTTAGTCTGTCATATTCCCTTTCCATTTCACATTCTTTTTATAAATTCTAAATTAATACAAGTTTTAACACTAAAAAAAAAAACAAGTATAGGTTTCCCCCCTTTTACCTCTTTGAGTGTGACACCTCAGTGGTTAAAATATACCTTTATTCCCTCATCTTGATTCCCAATAAACCATTATTTTTAAGAAGTTACAATACTAATCATTACATCTTTTCATTTGGATTCTGCAGCATATTTTTCCCCTTAATTTTTAATAAGAGTTATCAATATCTATATTACCCTATTTTCTAAATATTTTTAATTGCAGAAATATTCTTATTACCCCTTGTCACCCTGCAGAATCCCCTTTTTAATTCATCAACCATTATCTCTGAAAAAACAATTTCTTTTCAACATTTTACTATTTCCGTATTTCTTTATTTCATGCGCCTGTTTCTTACTGCTTCTCCTCCCTCTCTTTTCCCCATATATTTTCTCATTCCAGTTTATATCCCCGTCTTTCTTAATATCTTCCTTTCCCCTTTTCTGCTGGGTCTTTCTGCCTTTCCTGACTTCACAGGTATTCCCCCTTTTGATTGCCTTCTTAAGTCTCAACTTTTTAACCTTCCTTCTTTCCCCACTTCTTTGTAGTGTTCTTTGTGTTAATTGTCTATTTAAAATGTCTTCTCCTTGAATCGACTCCTCCTCCTCTGAAGCTCTTTCTTCTTGTTCTTCAATCGCCATTTCCATTTTTTCTAACACAGAACAAAGTGATTCGCCTCTTTCCTGTAGTAATTCTCTCATATTTTTAAGTTCCATTTTTAATTCCCAAAGAGATATCATCATTACACATTCTTGTATTTTATGATCGTTAAAGTCCAAAAAAAAAAACACTTTTACTTTCCTTCTTTCTTCTTTCAATTTTCTAAAGTTCTCAATTGTTCCAACCCAGGGTCTATACCAAAAACATCAATCAATCCCACAGTCAGTCTTTCCTTGCTTTTTTCTTTATTTTAGTTCTGCTTTCACTTTCTAAGATTCTTACTTTGTTGCAATATTTCTTTAATGTTATATCCACACAAGTTCATTCAGAAACAGGATGCTTTCCCTTTTGTTTGAGCTCAAGTTTTTGTCAAAAGATGGCACTCTCCATTGTACAAAGTATTCACCTTTTCCCCCTATTTCTTTATTTAGGGTTTTTCGAACCTCAATATTCCAGCACAGTCCAGTCTCCAATTTGTAAACTTTATTATTATTATTTTTATTTTATGCCAGCTTTATTTTATGCCTTTTTATTGCCAAAATATTTTAGTCCAATTTAGTTAAATCTTTAGTTTCAGCTTCTTCCTTTCCTGGTTCTAAGCCCCGCTTAGTTGTCAAAAATATTTTCTTATTTTTTTTCCTGTCCCTTTGTAATTTCGCCGCTCACTTTTCTTTTCTTAAAAATTCCATGTTACCTTTATCCCGGGGTACTTTTGTTTAGTTGCATTGCCCAATTATTCCCGGTTCAGATGTTATCCACCTCTTTCTTCCCTCCTGCACAAATCTTAATCCAGCTGAGTCCTCCTCTTCGTGGTGGCCATTTTAAACCACCGCAGCAGTCATCTTCGGGGGGGGGAAAAGACCAAGCCCAGGAGGGGAGATGTGGCTCCTCTCAACCTGGCTTGTGGCTTCCCCTTACTCCACCGCCCCTCCAAGGCAGCCTCAGCCCCTAATCGTAATGATCGGGGCTCTCCAATGCAAAAGTATGGGCCATAGCCACAGAGAGATGTGATCTACGGTCTGTCAGTGAGGAGGCTCCGCCTTCTTCCCCCATGGTTGGATAAACATCTTAATTTGTTAAATATGGTTTATAAAGTATATTGGCTGCATTTCTAACAAAGCAACAAACAGGTAAAGTATATTCTAGCCTAACACATTCGTGGACGCAATCAAGGCCTAATCTACCACAATCATAAAAGTGAGACATAATAAAAACATGCAATTATTTTATTAGTCATTGTATGCCTTAGCAACCTGTGCAGTGCAGACTGAAAAATTTGTGGATTATTTTGAAGGAATGACAGATTCAGCCAAGGAGGTATGTACCTGATTTAAAATAAAATGGTTTGGTGGAAGCGATGATTATCTGTGATTAGCAATTCTGCTTTAAAGAACAAAGGTAGACCTTATTTTGACAGTTTGATGATAACCAATTATGTCAGGGGAAGTCAGGATAATTTGAAGGAAGAGAGAAAAGAAACAATGGGCTTGATCAAGAGCCATCCCATCATGTTTCGTGTTGGACTCAAACACCATGAAATGTTAAAAGAGTGACTATACATTTGCAGGAGTAAAAGAAAAATAATACAGGTAGTCCTTGATTTAAAGCTACAATTGAGCCCAACTTTTATGTTGTTAAGTGAGATATTGTTAAGTGAGTTTTGCCCCATTTTATGACCTTTCTAACCACAGTTCTTAAGTGAACCATTGCAGTTGCTAAGTTAGTAACACGGTTGTTAAGTGAATCTGACTTTCCCATTGACTTGGCTTGTCAGAAGGGGATCTCAAAAGGGGATCACATGACACTGCAACCGTCATAAATATGAACCAGTTTCCAAGCATCTGAATTTTGATCCCATGACCACAAGGATGCTATAATGGTCATAAGTTGAAAAATGGTCATAAGTCACTTTTTTTCAGTTGTGTTGTAACTTTGAATGGTCACTAAATAAATTGTAAGTCGAGGACTACCTGTATTTTCAAAGTTAACTTGCAAAAGATGAAGTAGCACTAAAATTAAAAAAACCAGATCTTCATGAAACATTAGAAGAAAATTCCTACTACGAACTTTTCACCATCAAGGTAAGCTTTATTAGAAGTTATCACTTCCCTTTTTAGAGGAGATATGTAAGTAGAAAAATAGACATATGTCAAAAATATGGCAGGCACAACCCCACACCTCTCTACTAATGATTCACCTGTGGAGATGGTTAGAAATATCCTTAGTGTACAGCTAACGAGTAGGCTAGCTTGGTCGCTCAACAATGAGACACTGGTGAAACAGACACAGGAGCACCTGCATTTTATGCATTGTGTGAGAAAAGGATGTCTTCCTTCTCCTGTCCTTATCACTTTCTATAGAGGGACGATCGAGAGCGTCCTGTCATGTTGCATTAGTGTCTGATTTAGAAGCATTGCTACTTCAGACAGGAAGGCGATGCAGAGAGTGGTGAGGACAGCAGAAAAAAATATTGGTAGTTCACTTCCTTCTATCCAGGACATAATGTACAAGCAATGCTTGAGCAGTGTCTGCAGGATTGTCTGGGATGCTACGCACCATCTTCATGACCTGTTTTCCTTGTTACCTCCTGGGAGGAGGCTTTATAGTATCCAAAGCAGAACATCCAGATTCAGTCACAGTTTTGTTCCATGTAGCATCAACCTTGTAAACTCTCAAGTTTTCTCTTTCCGCTATGTATTCAAAAAGGATGATTTTCATATTTGTATTTATATACATGTATATACATGTGTGTGTGTGTATTATGTGTATATATGTGTTATATATGTGTATGGGTAGATATATATACTGTACTTTCTTTCGAGAGCAGGCAACAATTTCATTTTTAACGTGGGGCAGTGTGCTTTCTGTAAAAATGACAATAAAGGTTCTCTCTCTTTCTCTCTCTCTCTCTCTCACACACACACACACTCACACACATCTATCTATCTATCTATCTATCTATCTATCTATCTATCTATCCAGATCCTAGATCAGTGGCAGACTAATTGACTCCCTACTTTTTTTCTAACATAGTTCTAAAATTACATACGAGTTGAACTACTGGAATCACATTGATTATATATGTTTCTGGACTCGGCCATCAAAGTTTATAAATTATGTTTTATGGTATATGTGCTATATCAATCCAAATCATCCATGATGGTTTATAAATACCATGTTGTATGAATCTAGCAATTTTTGGCTTATTTATTGAACAATGGTGAAATAAAATAACACAGCATGCAAATGTTAATGTAAATCTAACGAAACTTCCATTGAGATGTATTGAAACTTCCTTTCAATACATCTGGAAGATACCAGGATTAGAAAGTTTGGGTGGGGAGTTTAGTAAGACTGAAAAAAAGATACAGGAAATGGGCTAAATAAAAAATTAGTTGCAATGTGAGAAGAGAAGAAAAGAACTTAAAAAGAGAGAGAAAAGGCTGAAGAACCCCAAGAAAAAGAAAATAAAAGAGTTGACGTGTTCCTTTGCTATATATACTGTATATAGACATGTCAATCTTGGTCTACTGTGAGGTTTTACTTTTGCTTGGTCTTTCTTTGCAAGCCAAAACAATCACATCTCTTTCAACATATGAGTCACAGCTCTCTAGATGCCTCCATAATATTAGAACCAAGATGTTGATCACCTGTCAGAGGCAAATGCTGAATGAAAAATACTATGGGAAAACAAACACCCACAGTTCTCTCAGGTAAAAGAATGATTTGTATTTTGGGCAGCAAAAACTGGAGTGGATACAACTTGGAATGGAATGAACAGATCTCAGTATATTCATACGACTCATTCCATATAGATAATGAAGTAATCTAAAAGATTTTTCCTCATGAGGAGAGCAAAATGGCACACAACTGGGAAATTTATGTTGCTTCATAGTCAATGAAGCTTGCATACTTGAAGCATAGTTTTCATGATTTGGATTGTGGTAGTGAGTTAAACTCCTTGTCCCCTTTCAGACTTCTCAGTTAAATAGTTTCTCGCAGGGATACACTCTTCTGTAGAAAATGTCAGTGCTGCCTCACACAGCAGCTTGAAAAAAGGAAATATTAAATTATTAATTATTCAAATAATAATTAATATTGCCTGTGTAAGTTCTGGATATGCATGAATATAAGCAACAGGGCTTGAAGACTATGGGTGATGAAAGGCCATATTTCAGAGAATTATAATTGCCCACTCTCATTAATTGTTTTATTCAGTAACTTAATACAAAGAAAAGCAAATTACAAAGCTCCTGTCTTCAAGAGTTTGCAACAAAATGCAATAGTGACAATTATGAAAAGAGATTAACACAGAGAAAGGGTTGTAGAAGCTAATTATTTTCCCTTCTGCTTCAATAGGTCTATCCAAATCATATTTTTGCAGATTGGATATGATGTATATTAGTGAGGGAGAAAACCTTGGTGGAAACATTAGAAGTTCTAAATTTTATTCATTTCCTTCTAAGGCTGGAGAAAAAGATTGAAGAATGCCCTTTTCAAAGCATGCTAGCATGAACAAAGAACCACTATTTAAATCAGTGCGATTACAGTCATAATTAGGACTGGGATTGTTATTGTAAGTTGTTATGGTTGTAAGTCGAGGCCCCATGTGACCGGACTTGATTTTACAATTGTTTTTATGATGGTTGTAAAACAAGTCACTCTAGTGGTCAGGTGAACCACATGGTTATAGGTGCAAATGTTATCAAATGGGCTTTTTTTTGGCTGTCATAGAGAAAATGAGCAGGACAAAACCAGAGATCCAAATGGCAAAAAACATTGCAAAATGTGATCATGTGACCATGGGATTCTCCAGCCAGACATAAATGTGAGCCAGTTACCAAGCACCCAAAATGTCATCATGTGACCGTAAGGTAGTGCAGCAGTCATAACTCATGAACAGTCAAGTTGGTAGTAATTGTTTTTTTCTGCAGTCCTAATTATCCTCTGAAGTCTGTGTCTGTCCTGTTGGGTTGCAGAACCAAACCAGACAGTTATAGAGGTGCAGATGAAAGGCTCAATAATTCCTCTGTAGAACTGTATGTTCTTGATTGAAGGCAGGTTGGTAGTTATTGAAAAACTGGACATATTTTACTAAGAACTGGATATGTTTTACTAAGAAGAAAAGCCAAAAAGGGAAGACTTGATAGCGATCTTCTAGTACTTGAAAAGCTGTCATAGAGAAAATGAGCAGGACAAAACCAGAGATCCAAACTTGAAATAAGGATGAATTTCGTAACTTTGAAAGTTATTAATTGGTGGATGCCAGGGATTTTCAGTTAAACTTTTGGATAATCTGAGAGGTTAGAGCTGGGGTCCCATGCCCTGGGCCGTGACATACTACCAGGCCTTGAACCTGTTGGAATTGGGTCATGGAAGTGGCAGGTGAGCACGGATGCACATCCCCACCTGTGTGAGTACTAATGGAGTGGTACACGCATGTGTCCACCACTCACATGGAAGTCCTCTCCTCCCTGCTCCAGACAGTCTGCAAAGCCAAAAAGATTTGAGTGTGAAAGACCTCCAGAGAGCTTTCTACCCAATGGCAGGGAGACCACGAGTTTGCCTTGTTTTTTAGCTGTCCACAGTCATTAGATCAACCAATTTATGAGGGTGCCTTTACATGCTTTCTAAGTTCCAGTTCTATTCTTAATAATATGCTTAAAATAGCATATTTAGGATTGATTACATCAGTTTCTTAATCTAAAAGAACTCAGCCTCACACATGGAATTTGCCTTCAGAGACTTGCTTTTATCCTTTGAAAGTCTTATTTGTAGAATTTGAGACAAGTTGTTTTAACTGAGGGGAAAAAAAAGTGTGGGAAGAAAACTTAATGATCACCACTGTCATTCTTTTTGCTGCAATAAAGCAATTATCACCAGCATATGGCTACTCTTTGTTAAGAAAGTAGAAGGGCCAGTTATTATTGGCCAGTATTAGTCTAACATATCAAATATGTATCTACATTTTAATAGTATGCATTTAATATCAAAGCATAGTGACATATCAATAAAAGTAGATGAATTTTGTCTTGATGCATATAATTAATCAAAATGCAATATAGAAGGAAATTTGCTCAGTTGTAAAATCTATGACATGTAAATATGGGATGTGTAAGTCTGTATTTAAAATAAACTGACCCCTCATTGCTATTCTCTAGAGATCTGGTAGGCCTCAATTGGAGTAGTTCTGTAACCTGATTATCAAGTATGTGAAAAAGTGCCTGATAGTTGGAAAAATGCTGTTCTTGTTCTCCCATACAAAGGGGAGAAAGCTAATGAATACAAAAGCTGCAGGACACTTAATTGGTTAAGTGTGTCTGCAAGATATTTTGCAGAATTCTCATCAAAGTACTAAGAGAAGTGACAATGAGCAAGATTTGAGAAGCCTAATGTATCTTTATGCCAAGCAAAGGGTGTACACAAAGTTGTTTTGCACTTGAACGGGTCACTATGAGATGTATAAACATGAGTATATATCACACATTTATTGACTTAAAGCTTATGATAAAGTGAATGAGCTTGAATTATGAAATACTTTGCATGAATATGGAGTTGGCAGTTACCCAATAGAGTAAGAAAGAAATATTATGGAAATACAGCATGGAAGATAATTAACGGAGTGCATAGTGGAAAGGTTCAACATTGTCAAAATGAGACAAGTACATATTCTCTTTTATTTAATAAATTTATGAATACATGTGTAAGAAATGCTTGTAGTAATGTTGGAGACATAAATGTAGGATTTCTCTTTTTTGTAAGTTGAAATATCAAATGATTTACCATGATTGTATGATGCAACAAGAAGTATGGAGCTAACATTTAATATATCAAACACTAAAGTTCATTACATTTAAGAAAAATAAAATAACTAAATACATAAATAGTGGACAATTTTTTTAAAAAGTGTACTTTGGTAGAGCGTTTAGTGGAGATGGGAAAACGGATGAATTATAAAATTTAAAAACAAGTAAAAGCAGTAGTTAGTAGTCTCTTATGAGGACGAAATGTTTTCTTTAAGAAGCAGAAATGGGTGTTTATAAAAGTGTGTTTCTGTCTACTTTGTTATGAGAAGTAAGAAAATGATAGTTTAAGAAAATGATAAAAGTAAACTGAATGTAGTGAGGATTGGGAATTCTATATAGTAAAATAAGAATGGAATTGATCAAAAAAGAATAAGTGATGAATGAATAGAAATGGAATTAAAAATGAGTGACCAGTAAGGAAGTACATTCAGCCTTTTTGGTCATATAAAGAAAATGATATAAAACAAGTTTGTGAAGAGAAGACTGAATGCATTGAGAGAAAGACCAAGAAACTCAGAATTGAATTAAGTTGACGAGATCTTCAGAAAGAGAGTGGGGAGCGGTTTAAAGAAAAAAGACAAAGTATACATTGCTCTATAGACATGCTACAAGCAGGAATGATTTATAAGAATAGGAAGGTATGGAGGATTATAGTGAATGGTGTTGGTATGAACTAGATTTAGTTTCCTTTTCTTGAATTTTTCCTTTCCTTTCCTACCTCAACTTTCTGTGGCATACTACTTCTCACATCTACCTGAGCATTGCTTAATACTGGAATAGTGTGAGGTCATGCATATACTATATGCATACAAAAGTAGCCCACAGTAGCCTACCTGTGGGTTATTTATGACCTGGATTTGAAATTCCCATAGTTGCTGCCCCTCCTTTCTTGCAGTCACAGGACTGCATTTCCGGTGGTCAGCAGTTACAGCCATTGGCAGAGTCCCGCAGTCACATTAACATGTTTTATCATGGTTTTGGTGAAAACCAGCATTTTACTTTCAGCTTTTGGTCATAGGCTCGCTTAACAATTACAGTTTCCATTTTATGACTGCATCTGCTTAACAGCTACTACAAAAAAAAAGGTCATAAAATCAAGGTGGTCACATGATTAACTCATTTACACCACAAATTACAACGGTGATGGGCAGGCTCCATTACTATTGTAACTGGAGGATTTCCTGTATATAAATAAATACATTATTCTGCATTAGAATAGGATAACTTTGTCTAACAATAGTCTAGTCTCTCAGTGGGCTGAAGATGATATCGTGATTTTTGCTAAGTATTAAGTTAAGCCCTGTAATCATGACAGGTTCATTAGAACTGATGCTCAGGTTTCTACAGGGATCTATAGAAGCCATGGGGACCAATTATAATTGATTCTCTTCTTCCTTCCTTCTGAAGACTGTTGTCAGCTATGACAAAATTAAAATCTGATCAATCAATTGTTTTTCAGATTCAGATGGGGTGTATGAAGCTTGCTTGGAAGCATAAAATATATTAAATAAGAGATACATCGAAGTAGATTATAGTACTGTATATGAAGGACAGAAATTGGCAACTTTGTCAAGTAGGATACATCAGATGTAGATTTGCTTGTGTGATTTTTTTTTAGGAACTAATGTATTTTTTTCCATTAATTTCCTCATAAATATGGCAAGCCCCTGACATATAAGGTATTGAAAGTTGTTCTTCTAGACTTGCTTAAAATATAGTATTGACTATTCATTATATTCCCATTCTTGAATTATTTTGTGAACTGATTTATGTTAACATTACTATTATCCCAGAATAATGAAAATGCAATTGCTATTGTTGTAGAGATTAGACAAGTAATTGGGTGCTTTGGATTCAGGCTGCAGGTTCATAGAAATCACAGACACCAAGTTTAATACTACATCTTTACTAAAAGGGTTTTGAAACAGAACACCAATGGCAAAAAGTATGAACAAACAAGAAGGCAGCCACAATACGGTAAAACAGAATTGTAACTAAAGGAGCTGTATGGTATATAACTCTCTTATATGGGGGTTGGTGTGAACTGGATTTGTTCCTTTGATGGGGCAGGGTTCTTTCTGGCCAATAGTCTTGTTAAGCACCTTGTTTAACTCTCCTCTTGCATTGGGGGTGGGGAGGAGTATTAGCACTTCCTCTTTGTCTTCTGAGGCCAGTAATAGCTCTCTTTTCTGGTTGCTAGAAAACTCTTCCACTTGCATCCCCTGAGGCTAATGATCAGAGGTGGCATTCAGCAAGTTTGACCAGTTCTGGAGAACCGGTAGCAGAAATTTTGAGTAGTTCAGAGAACTGGCAAATACCGCCTCTGACTGGAGATTTTACAGTATCCTTCCCCTACCCCGCCCACCAAGCCACGCCCACAGAACCGGAAGTAAAAAAAATGTGAATCCCACCACTACTAATGATCCTCTTTAATTTCCAAGTCTGAGGTAGCCATGACAGCAGGTGATACATGTCAGGCCTGTATGCAATAAGACCATTTCCATCCATAATGGAAAAGTGAACATTCTATGACTGTGACATAGATATACAATGACCAAAATGTAGTCTTTTTGGAGATTTGCCCTCTGGGTTTCAGATTCAGCATCAGACACAATACCAAGAACATGTCGGTGATGTGGTTGCAATCACTTGAGAGAACTTCACTTGAACAAAACTTGTACAGTTTTGATGGTGATGGGATATGAATTCTTATATATGTAGGTGGACCAGACAAGTTATGGAAGGTGTATAGAACAGAGCATTTCACTGCCTCATGCCCCTTAGATTTCATCTTAGGGCTGGTGGTGTAAGAAACTCCAAAGATTTAGATTCTGCAGGTCATGAACTTCTATGCTCAGAGGGTCAAAATTGGATCTGCTTAGAGGTTTATGGGTTTGTCTCAGTATCA